CCGACTATTGTTAGTAGAGGAACCCTCCGAAACCCAAGGTGGCGATTAGAATTTCTGATCATTTTCGGGTCGGCCAGAAGGATGGATATATCGCAGGGAGCTCTACTTCACCTACCGACTGACGGTACCAGAGCAACTGATGGAGGCATGTCTCAGCCTGGACAAGAAGGCCCTCCATTGGCTCCAATGGGTTGACTCTCGGCAGCCATTCCGTAACTGAAAAGACCTAAAATACAGACTATTAGAACACTATGGAGCTAAGCACTCCAGCTCCCTCTACCAACAATTCTTTAAACTTGTGTAGACGGGTTCAGTGGAGGACTATCAGGAACAATTTGAACTACTATTCGGCGTCCTCCACGATGTGCCAGATGCCATCTTAGAAGAAGACTTCCTCAAAGATCTGCGGTAGGAGATACAAGCATAAGTAATCGCCCTCAACTCATGAGGCTTAGAGGTGATAATATAGACAACCTAGAGGATAGAAATCAAGCTGCCGACACTGACAAGTGGAGGTCGACCGCAGCAAGATAGAGGCTCAAAGAGAGGGCCCTCGACATACGATGGGCCCAGATACGTCCCCCACCGACTAGCACAAACAATCGAAAAGAAGGGTAGGGCCCAAGGCCACCTACAATACGCCCACTGGTCACCATCATCGGGGCACCTTCGACAGATCATCATCAGCGCCTACACCTCACGGCAGCAGAAATCCAAACCTGACAGGCCCAAGGCCTGTGTTTTCACTACAACGAAAAATTCACGCCCAACCATCAGTGTAGACGTGAGTTGAATATCCTATTCACTCTTGTTGACTCTGACTACTTGCCAAACAACGAATAGGTGGGGGAGCTCTCCTAAGACCCATCTTCGGAAGATAACGAGATTGTCCAGCTTGAAGTGACCCTCCACTCACTATCCAGCCAATTTCATGGACAAGCCATTCACTTCAAAGGGACAGTCCAAGGGCAATAGGTTTCACCTTGCTCGACATAGGAGCAATGTTCAACTTTGTCAACAACCATCTAGTCCAAGAGCTGCAGCTACCGACCGTCAAGACAACACCATATCGAGTAGCCACCACAATAGGTGAGACAGTCCTCAGCTCAAAAATATGCTGCAGCCTTGTTGTGGACCTTTCAAAAATTGTCATCTGAGACGACTTCCTTCTCTTCCCTCTCACCTCAGTCAATATGATTTTGAGCATGCATTGGATTGAGGACATGCGCAAGCTAGAGTTCAACTTGGATGACTAGACCCTCTTGTTCCCTGTCGGAACGGAGAAGGTGACGATTGTGGCAGACCCTTGACTAGAAGGCCCGACACCAACTAGATGCCTTGGTCAGTAGACCATGCAAGGGCAAAGTGTATTTCATGTTTTTCCATCTCGAGAAAAGCGACGCCACAACATCCAAGGAACACTTAATAGAGGAGCTTTAGGAGCACTTTCTACAGCTCTTCATAGATATCACCAACCTTTTCCCATGCCACGAGCAGGAGCATTGCGTCATCATGGAACTAGGGAGTCAAACTGTCCACACCTGTCCTTTCTGCTACCCTCATTTTCAGATAAATGAGTTGGAGAAGCAGGTGGTGGCCATGTTGATGACCAGGCTCATTTAGCATTCTCACAGCCCTTTCTCTAGCCTGGCACTCCTCATCCGCAAAAAGGACAGCTCATGGCACTTCTGTATAGATTATCGCATGCTAAATAAGGTAACCATCTCATGTTGTTTTCCCATTCTGGTTGTCGATGAGCTCATCGACGAGTTGCATGAGCCACTGTATTCTCGAAGCTGGACCTATGATTTAGCTTATCTAATGCCTTAGTGACCTTCTAGGCCACCGTGAATCGAATCTTTGTTCCCTTCTTGTGGTGATTTGTGTTGGTATTCTTCGACAATATCTTTGTCTACAATAAGACCAGCAAAGAACATGAGGGTTACCTCTTCTATGTATTTCTCATCCTCCATGAACATTAATTTCACATTCACCCCAAAAAGTGTCTGTTTAACTAGACAAAGATCATGTATCTTGGTCATTGATATCAGCAAAGAATGTAGGCAACCATCAAACAGTACATGGTGACTTGCTCAATCTACCAAACTAGCAAGTCATAAGCATTGACTTTGGTTGGCCTCTTTCAGCCTCTTTCGATCCCATACCACATCTAAGAAGACATGATGACGAACTTCATCAAAGGGCTACTCGTGTCCAATAGCTGGATTACCATACCATACTTGTCATCGTTGATCACCTTAATAAGTCTGCCCACTTCTCTACCCTCCGTCATCTATTTATAGCCTAGATAGTCACAGATATAGTTATCAAAAATATGGTCTGGCTGCATGGGTTCCCAACGTCCATCTTCACCACTAGGGACCGTATCTTCATGAGTTCATTTGGACAAGCCCTTTTCTATCAACAAGGAATGACACTTCAACAAACCAACATGTATCATCCACAAATCGATAGTCAGTTAGAGGTGGTCAACTACGATCTGGAGACATACCTCCGTTGCTTCACCAATGAATGTCCACGACAATGGCCTAGATGACTACCATAGGCAGAGTTCTAGTACAACATGAACTTCAACCACTCCACTAGGATGACTCTATTCCAAGCAATTTGTGGAAGGCCTCTGCCCTCACTAATCTGCTTCACCAATGATGTTGGCAGTTGATGTTGGCAGAGTTAGCGCACTAGCTGCATGAGTGTGGCAAGATCCTTGTGCAACTCAATCAAAACCTAGAATGCACTCAAACCTGGATGAAATAGTTTGTAGACCACAAACGAAGGGAACTCGAGTTCTAAGAAGACAATTGGGTCTACCTTTGTCTACAACCCTACTGTCAGACCTTAGTTGCACAACAGACTTGTGCGAAGCTCACCCCTCACTTCTACAATCCATTCAAAGTCCTTTAGTGCATGGGCTTGGTGGCATATCGGCTGGACCTCCCTGCCTCAGCCCAAGTCCACCCAATCTTGCACATATCCCAGCTGAAATGGGTAGAACAATGAGAGAAGGCCCTAGCAACAGCTGAGCTACTTGTGGATGACAATCTGTGTTGGACAATGGCTCTAAGTTGGGTCATCAACATCCATTATTGCCCCCACAGGCCCGAAGTACTTATCCACTAGGAAGGTATGTTAGGCGACACCACCACGTGAGAACCAACTTAGAACATCCATCAATAGTTTCCTAGCTTCCACTTTGAGGACAAAGTGCAAAATTAGGGGAAGTATTGTTGAGGCCCTTACATCATGAGCTGGGCCGAGGAGAGTGTGGTCTCAAAAAAGTCAACCCAATCTAGTGCTATAGTTGGACTAGTAGAATAAAGCGCAAGATGACAAGACATAGGAACTTGACATCAATATGATCTTGCATGATAGAAGTCAAGGGTGACAGATGGATTTGGTGGCGAACCAAGTCAAATGGTAAGATTTGACATCAACGAATCCTCTTGTACCAAGTCCCATCAAGGAGGAAGAGCATCAAGGACCATGACAATTATAAGTAACAAAGAACAACCCTCAAGAAAAAGAGGAAGTTGTAATGAGAAACTCCCTCGAGAGTTGGAGACTCACCATCTCATTTTGGCAACCCCAAGACCATAGGGTCTTGACTGTGTCATTCTATTCTATCCTATATTCCCTTCGTCTTCTCTTTTCCCTCTCTGACCCACTGATCCTCTATTGCCCCCTTCTCGGGTCCACCAAAATCCCCCCTTCGTGACCATCAATAGGAACCTCAACAAGTTCACTAAGAGGGAGATTTATGGGTTTTAACATACATCAAAAGAGCTCCTAAGAGAGGGCTTATTTATCAAAGACATGGCCATCTTCAAATTAATGCCTACTCAGATACAAGATATGCTGGTGACAAGAAAAATTGTAAGTCCACCACTAATTATTACATATATGTAGGTGGCAACCTTATCATGTGGTGCTCAAAAAAGTAAAAAGTAATATCTTGCTCTAATGTTGAGTTTGAGTATCATGTCATGGCCAAGATGACATGAGAGATAGTGTGACTCAATTCACTCTTCAAAGACTTTGACATCTCATCTCCTATGCCAATATCTATGCACTGTGATAATTAAGTTGCCATCTTCATTGTTGAGAATCTTATGTTCATGAGCTAACAAAGTACATCAAGATTGACTGTCATTTCATCGGTGATAAGATAATGTCAAGTGTTATCTCTACTTCGTATGTTGTCTAATTTCATCAGCTCATGAACGTTTTTACCAAAAGTCTTATAAGGATCTTCTACGACGCAACATATATTAAATTAGGCATGTTTGACTTGTATGCTCCAGCTTAAGAGAGAATGTTAAAATAAGCCCATTGAGCCACCAAGCTCATCTTAGACTTATTTTCTCTATATTTCTATTCTTCTTCCACTATCTCCACTTATTCCTCTCTCTTTCTTTCTTCCTCTCTTCTATATAATCTCATCCACTCTTCTTCTTCAATATAGCAATTTATGGTTTTCTCCTCCTCTTGTCAATATTGTTATTTTCATAAATGATTATTGACGAGTAATTTGGGTTTATCTTATAAAAGACCGGTCTAAGTTATTTGTTATTTTTTGTGTCTTTTGAGCAAAAATACAAACCCAATTTAGTAAAATCATTTGCATTCTTTACTCTAATAACACCAAAGAATATTTTAGCACTATCATGACTAAGTTTCTCTCAACTCATGGCATAATTCACTAATCATCTTGTCCTCACACTCCATAACATAATGGTGTCTCAGAACATTCACTTTGTCACCTTGTGGATATTGCTCATATCCTTTTGGTACATGCTAATGTCTTTGGATTTCTTGAGTGATTTTATTCTTATCACTACTTACCTAATCAATTGTATGCCCTCATTAGTCCTCAACAACCAAATTCTTTTTTTCATTCTCTATCCCAAATAACCCCTATTTCCTCTACCTCTATATATATTTGGTTTGTACATATTTTGTATATTAGCCTAGACCCAGTAATGATAAGTTATTACCTAAGTCTCTCAAATGTGTCTTCCTTGGTTACACTTGTCATTAGAAGGGATATGGGCATTATTGTCCCTTCCTCGATGAATAAGGCCCTAAGTCATTCTAGTTCACGAAGTATGGTGACTGAAGAAATGCAGGCACTTGAGTTGAATGCCACTTGGCAGCTGGTCCTTCATCCTTCATCCAAATCGGGGGTAGGCTGCAAATGGGTGTATATTGTTAAAGTTGGTCCTGATGGCTTCATGGATCGATTGAAGGTTCACTTGGTGGCTCAGGGGTTCACACATATGTACGGTGAAGATTATTTTGAGACCTTTTCTCCAATAGCTAAGATTACTTCTTTTCGTTTTTTTTCTGTTCTTGTTGTTCAATTTTCTTGGCCACTATATTGGTTGGATGTGAAGAATGCATTTCTTTATAGAGATCTGCAAGAAGAAGCATATATGGAGTAGCCACCTGAGTTTGTATCTTTCTCACAGCCCAATATAGTGTGTTGTCTTCAAGAGTCTATTATGGGCTCAAGCAGTCCTCTTGAGTGTGGTTCAACAGCTTCAGTTGCATCATTCTAGAGTTTGGTCTTTGTCGGTGTGATTCTGACCATTTAGTATTCTATCTACATAACTCTTCTGACTATATTTTACTTGTCATATATGTGGATGATATCCTTGTTACTGGCAATGACTTGGCTGGGATTCTCAATCTGAAGAAATCCGTACAATCTAAGGTTGCAATCAAGGATCTGAGTAATGCCAAATATTTATTGAGTATTGACGTTACTCGCTCTACCAAGGGATTGGTTATCAATCAACGAAAATATATTCTTGATCTTCTACAAGATGCAGGTATGTTGGGGGACGAGCCATCTACCACCCTTATGGACTCTAAGATTAAACTTAATCTGGAGAGTGGTGATATGTTAAATGATCCTGGTCAGTATCATCGCCTTGTTGGTTGCTTGAACTATCTCACTATGACTCAGGTAGACATCTCATTTGCTATGAGCATGGTTAGTCAATTTTTGGTTGCTCCTCGTACAACTCATTTATTGGTGGATATGTGTATTCTCTGATATTTAAAGTTGCATCCTAGGAATGGCCTCTTATATAAACCTTCTAAAAATCTTAATATTTGGGGTTTTGTGATGCTGATTGGGCAGACTATCATGTTGACTATCGCTCAACCACTGGATATTGTATAATTCTTGGGGGCAATCTGATCTCGTGGAAAACCAAAGAGCAGTTGGTTGTTGCTCTATTTAGTGTAGACGTAGAGTATCGTGCTATGGTTCAGGCTTCTCAAGAATTATTACGGATTCATCATTTTCTTATGGAATTGGGCTTAGCTTCTTCTCAACCAATGCCTCTCTATTGCAATAATCAAGTTATGCGTCATATTGCTTTCAATCCTGTATTTCATGAACGAACAAAACATATTGAGGTTATGTGTCACATTATTCATGAGAAGATTCAAGCTCGGATCATTGAACCTGCCTCTGTTTTGTCTGATGAACAACTTGCAAACATCTTTATGAAGGCTCTCCCTGGTACTCATGTTGAATTTTTATGCTTTCAGCTTTGATCTTATGATATCTATGTTCCAGTTTGAGGGGGGCTGATATTAGATAATGGATAATGGACCTAGACCCATTACCCTCCTCTCTCTCTCTCTCTCTCTCTCTCTCTCTCTCTCTCTCTCTCTCTCTCTCTCTCTCTCCTATATATATGTATCTCTCTCTTGATTACAAGAGACGAAACTTGATTTCCACAGTCACCTCGGCCAACTCTTCCACTACCTTCTCCTGCACATCCGGGTACCTGCGCTATATGTACAATAACCAAGCCAGGGCAGTCGCCGTGGTGTCCCTGCCGGCGACCATGAAGTTGAGAATGATATCCCTCAGGTACTTTCTGCTTATCTTGTCCGGCTCCTTCTCCCTCTCCTCCAGGAATCTCGACAGTATGTCGTCCTTCTTAATCTGTCTCCAGAAGATAATTGGTCACAAGGGGAGTGAAACCTCAAGATAGAAGGAGCTGGAGGATGGGGAGACTCACCGAGTCGACCCTCTCTCGGGAAAGTTGTTCAGTCTTCTGGTCGATTATCTTGTAAACGAAGTCATCGATTACTCTGATGTTTCTCCTCAGCGCGGCCTCTGCTCCGACGTTCAGGGCCCTCTTGATCTTCCACAAGACGTCGACGTATCGCCAGGTCACCTGCTCGCTGGAATCGTCGAACGCCTTGGTCATTGGGGACCCTTCCTCATTTGTTCCGCGTAGGGTGTCGAGCTCCACGCCGAGCCCGACTTTGAATATGGAATCCATCGTAGATCTCATGAGCAAGTCCTGCGGATTCTTTGGCGTGACCGAGAAAATTACCTGGATGTCCACCGACCGGTTCGAGCTCGCCGCCTCGGAGATGACCTGGGCTAGCGTCGTGGCGTGGCGTTTGAAGGTGTTGCTGCTGTAATCCCTCAGATTCCTCGTAGAGAACTCGAAGCTTGCGAGCTTCCTCTGGTGGCGCCACTGGTCGTCGTCTACGGCGAAGATCCCGTCGCCGAGGAGGTCCTCCAGGATGTTGTGGTTGTACGAGCCCTGCAAGGTCGAAGCAGGTCTCACGCCGATTCAAACAGCAGCCAGGAGGGGCTAGAGGAAGGGGGGCAATTCTGTCGGGAAACATCTCCAGGAATAGGTGGGCATCTTTCGTTGAACCAGCCGCTCCCCTAAATTCAACCTGCCGTAGTTGGCGAAGTTGGTGCTGAGGATGTACTCCACGTCACGGGGGTCGGCCAGGTAAACGTAGCTCCGGCCGCGGTGGAGGAACCTGAAACATTTGAACCTGCGGGCTTGGTTCGTGTGGTGGTGGTGTATTCTGCGGAAGTTGATGATCTGGTTCAAGAAGGTGCCCATCACCAGGGTGTATCTCTTCTTCTTCCTTTCCAGTCGTCTCGGCAGGAGGGGCAAGATGAGCCTCAGCAACAGCGCTATGGCGGTGGCTGCGAGGACAGAACTGCTGAACAGGACAGCCTGGATGGCGGGCAGTTCCCTGTTTCCGGACGGTCGCCAGTGCTGAGGATAGGAAATTCATCCTCATCTCCTCAATTCGGATATTATTAAAGGTCATCGTTTACAAGTGTGTGAAATCCACAGACTGAATCTGAGATCATAAAAACAAGACAACGGCGAGCCGAACGGTGTCTACGATAATCTCCTTAATTATCAAAGATCCCGGTTGGTCGCCGGCGGCTCGCAAGAGAGGAGAGAGAAAGGGAAAGACCAAAATGGAAAATTTTAATAAAATTTGAAAACGGGTACAGGTATTTATACTATTCCTAACCATGTGGACCGGATCCCGTTAATCCGGCTTCACGTATACCGAACCGGATCTGATTCATCTGGAAGGGAGGAAGGGTGCAAATACAATAAAACATATAATAAAAGAACATATAAACCATAAAATATAACTTTATGGTATTCATGTAATCTTTCACACGCCGATAAGGTTTCTAGTTGTATCTTCTATAGGCGACTGAGTTCAAAGAAGCTCCTCATTTTTTGCATTTCGTCCTTTAAATCTGGATAAATTTTCAAAGTATCGGTTAGGTTCCTATCACTAGTAATTTTCACATAATATTTTTTTCAGTTTTGATAATATATTTAGTAGTTAAAGAGAGAGTAGCATTTTCTAATAGTGGGTAACTGTGTTTATTCATTAGTATATTTCTTGATAACATGTAAGTGATGGGTGGGCAACTCTATCAGTAATATACTATGAAGTATTTAAGTTCTCAAATGTCCATTCTGTTAGTGAATTTATTTAGATGTGAAAAGTATGTAGTTGAAAGTTCATTAAATCAAATCAATATGGCCTGGGATTTATTGGACCAAGTGAGTGGCAAGAGTAATGAGTGGTGGGAACGAGAACAAAGCCTCCTACCTTGCACAGAGTGTACGATTGTCGACAGTGATGCACAAGATGTAAACATATAAGGTCATATGTGTTACATGTATCAAAGAAATGCATTATTTTATGGACTATCATTTAGATTATGATTAAGGGGAGAGGGCACTCAATAACTAGATGTACTTGCACCAATCCCCCCAACAAGTATTAGGGTTGCCTTGTGCTCAAATGCCTAGTCAACCTAGATTATTTAGAGGGTATTGTTGATGTGGAGGATAATATCATCACAACAACATTGGGGGATAGAGGATGTGGCTTATTCTTCTTGTCACAAATGTGGATGGGAGTGCGTATTATAGGACACCTTCTGAATAGTATTTTTAAATTTATTTAATTTTTCATAGGATGTTAGTTTAGATGAGTTGATCTAGATCAATATCTGTTGTTAAAAATTAAATTTTACATTCATCAATGGGGTTATTTTGGCCTCTATTCTCTTTTCTTTGTTTGAAAGGTTCCATTGATATTGTTGTTAGCACTAAGTTGAATTCATTGATTCATCAAAATGACTCCCCACCATGTAGCCCAATATTGGCATTGGATGTAGAAACATGAAATATCGTTAGGTCAATGACATCACATGCTTGAATCATAAGTTCATAAAAACCTAGTTATAGCTTTGAAAGTTGATGTAGAGAATTTACTAGATGAAAATGACTGATAAAGATCCAAGGGGGACTTGAGTTGGTCAAAAAAACCATTCATAACATATTATTCAATTTAATAAAAACTTTTGGGATTGATTCTTTTAGAATAACTTTTTCATGCTGTCAATATTCATTTAGACTAAATTACATGAACTTGACTTCTTTTTCTCTGTATTGGAGTAATGCAAACTGGTGAAGGGACATTATATATTGTGGAGACAATGACCCTTCACCTTTGAATCATAGTTCACTACATATTAAAAAAACTTTTTCAACATATTTTGTGCACCCAAGTCATAATGAACTGATTTTTGCTTACTATCATGTTCCCTCTTTGCCCAATTAAGGTAGGTAACTATTTTATTGAAGGAAAATAATGGATGCTACCTTGTGAGAGGAGCATCATTACATAGTTGGAAAAAAAATCATATCCCCTTAGTAAGTAGAGATACAAAATTTTAAGGATTATTTCTTGATGATTCTCAAAATCTCTATTTCATTTCTAGAAATTAATTAGGCAAGATTTACTTTAATTTGAGGTCCATATATTCTATTGTATTTCAAGTATAAAACTCATTTTATCTCCACCATGTATTCCACAAGTCAAAATCAAAAGAAACCTCATAAATTATATGAGAGGCCCTGGTTCAAAAACTCATACCACATTTAGAAAACAAACATGTCATCAAGTCTTGATGGCAATAATGTTTACGTCAAAGAATATTGTTACCATTTTACTTCTTATCAACGATTTTACGACACTAAATAACAAATCCCTAGAGGTTTAATTAGTTGGGCTTTTATTGTCTAGATTTAGTAATCACAATTCAGTCTGACAAAGAGTAATTGATAGAATAAAATGTCTAAATTGAACTTGGGGAAGCTATGTGAAACAAGAAATAAACAACTCACGACCAAGAGTAATTCAGTCGACCTTTATGTACATTTATGTGAATAAAAATACAGAAGAATTCTCATCAAGTACTAATAGATGGAATCTCTGATCTTTACCCTCAAATGAATTCATCAATAACTAACCAAGATCTATCTTTAATATTTTTAGATCAACACTCAAACTATATATCACGGATGATAGTGGTGAGAAAAGCAATGCTTGAGTATATATATTTATAGGATTTGTCTCGGGAAGTGTGCCCCATCAATCACCTCGGCAAAAATGCATACCGTTTCTTCTTCCGGTCCAACAGGCCTTTGGGTTCGTGATGGGTCCGTCCAGCGACCGGTAACCACGTCCCATTAAATGCCGTTTTGACGTCTTCTGCACCACTTGCTTTGAGCTGAACCGGTGCCAACAGTTGTTCCCTATGCCTATACTTAGAGCGGCTTACAAAAAGCTGTAATGAAATAACCCACTTTTCTTCATAAATCCGGAGACCATTTCGCCACTTCGGAAGTGTTAGGACTCCCTCCCACGTGTCGTGTGGAAACGTATAATGCAAATAACAGTCGTCTTTGACTTTCTCGTCGTTTGTCGTCCAAATTTACCTGCCGCCACGGTTTGACCCCGATCCATAGATCGATTGGCTGTCGCTGCCACATGACAGCCTCTCTATGTCAGAAGGACACCGTAGAATTTCCTCTTCCGTAATCTATCACGTGAAAACTATCCGAGAAGAGGCGGGGAAGGATTTCTTATCAAACCATTCTGCGCTGTTTCCTCTACCCCGGAGATTGGCCGCGAAACAAGGAGGTGCCGCCCATGGAGGCTATCCTGTCCAGCCGTCCTGCCCTCGCAGCCACCTCCATAGCGCTGCTGGTGGGAGGGCTTCTCTGGCTCCGAGTGCTCCTCCGGCCGGGACGACTGGGAAGGAAGAAGAAGAGATACGCCCCCCTGGTGTGCTCCTTCTTGAATCAGATCATCAACTTCCGCAGAATCCACGATTACCTCACGGACAAAGCCCGCAGGTTCAAATGTTTCAGGATCCTCCACCCCGGTCGGAGCTACGTTTACCTGACCGACCCCCGCGACGTGGAGTACATTCTGAGCACCAACTTTGCCAACTACGGCAAGGTGAGATTGGGAGTGCTTGGATCATCGAAAGACCCCCATCTATTCCTGGAGATAGTTTCCTGACAGAATTGGTCCCCTCCTCTAGTCCCTCCTGGCTGCTTTTTAGATCGGCGTGAGATCTGCTTTAACTTTGCAGGGCTCGTACAACAACAACATCCTGGAGGACCTCCTCGGCGACGGGATCTTCGCCGTCGACGGCGACCAGTGGCGCCACCAGAGGAAGCTCGCGAGCTTCGAGTTCTCTACTAGGAATCTGAGGGATTACAGTAGCAACACCTTCAAACACAACGCCGGGAGGCTAGCCCAGGTCATCTCCGAAGCGGCGAGCTCGAACCGGCCGGTGGACATCCAAGTAAGTTTCATAGTCACGCCAACGAATCCGAGATTTCAATTAAGGATGGTCATTCACGGCGCTCCGCAGGACTTGCTCATGAGATCTACGATGGATTCCATATTCAAAGTCGGGTTCGGCGTGGAAATCGACGCCCTCCGTGGAACAAACGAGGAAGGGGCCCGATTTTCCAAAGCTTTCGACGATGCCAGCGAGCAGGTGACCTGGCGATACGCCGACGTCATGTGGAAGATCAAGAGGGTCCTGAACGTCGGAGCAGAGGCTGCGTTGAGGAGAAACATCAGAGTAATCGACAACTCTGTTTACAAGATCATCGACCAGAAAATTGAACAACTGTCCCATGAGACGGTCGACTCGGTGGGTCTCCCTATCCTCCAGCTCCTTCCATTTTGATGTTTCCCTCACCCTGTAACCAGTTACCATTCTGGAGCCAGATGAGGAAGGACGACTTACTGTCGAGATTCCTGGGGGAGAGGGAGAAGGAGCCGGACAAGATAAGCAGAAAGTACCTGAGGGATATCATTCTCAACTTCATGATCGCCGGCAAGGACACCACGGCGAGTACCCTGTCCTGGTTCTTCTACATGATGTGCAAGCACCCGAATGTGCAGGAGAAGGTGGCGGAAGAGATAGACGAGGCGACGAAGGGGAGCTCCCCCGGGTTGTCCATGGAGGAGTTCACAGAGAACCTTGGGTTCGTCGATGATCTTCCCTACCTCCATGCCGCGCTGAACGAGACGATGCGTTTCTACCCCGCTGTCCCACAGGTGCCGTCCAACGCCTACTCCAGTTATTTCCTGCGGAAATAACCATCTGATCAAAACTCTTTGGGTACCATCTGCGATGTGTTTTAATGCGGGAAGGACCCGAAGACGTGCTTCTCGGACGACACGCTGCCGAATGGATTCGACGTTAAGGCTGGTGACATCGTCGTCTATTTTCCCTACGGCATGGGGAGGCTGAAGGACTTGTGGGGCGACGACGCGGAGGATTTCCAGCCGGAACGGTGGCTCGATGATGGGGGGAACCTCCGCCACGAGAGCCCTTTCAAGTTCACCGCCTTCCAGGTGAGCCCCTCTTCCTTTCTATCTTCACTTCCGCTGAGAGCTACGCTTGATCAGATCTTTGAAACCAACAGGCGGGCCCCCGAGTTTGTCTCGGGAGGGAGTTCGCTTATCGCCAGATGAAGATCTTCGCGGCCGTCCTCCTCCACTTCTTCGCGTTCGAGATGACCGACGATGGGAAGGACGTCAGCTACCGAACCATGCTCACGCTGCAGACGCAGGGGCTACGCCTGCGAGCTTTCCCAAGGCAAATTTAGCGTTAACCCTACCCAGCTGCTTGTGTCGTACGGATCATCGGAGCAACATTCTGGTTGCCATAGTGGGCATTTGCTTCAACAAAGCCCCACAGAATTGAACTGTTTAACAGAAATTAGATGAGAGGGACACACCGAACACCTGTGCGAACAGTCAGATTAATAAAAATATCCGATATACTATGGAAGAATATCATCACTACACGCAATAGGAACGTCTTGCATAGGGTAAAAATCCATAACAGACCCAGAAAGAGAGGGTTTTCCCAACATTTCATTCTACGGAGAATCTCCGGATGGATACAACAGATCCTGCTCGAAGATACACAGAGAATCAGAGGACAAATTTAGCCCCCCCAGACATACTGGAAAATTCCAACTATTAAGAACGCCTTATGAAATGAGAGGAAGATGGATGGCAGGTCTTGATTCCCATCATTTGTGACTCCGATATGCCTCAATGGCCTGCAGCCGACGCCTCTCAGTCGAAGCTTCAAGGGCAGTCTTTAAACCCTGGAAAAATGGCAGAGAACCTTCAAATCCACGATCACATGGAGATTAAACTGCATGGGCAAGTAGTTGGCGCTACCTTAGGAAATGATAGCTTCTGCGGAGCATTGACAACTTCACCAAATTAACTTGCTCATGGTCAGCAAACTCTTAACATTCACCGTTCCTCGCTCTCTTGTTTTTTATCTTTCTTGCTTTAAGGTACCTAATCAATATGATTCAGCCTAACATAATTTAGATGGAAAAGAGATCACAGCCCGCAGTAACCCAAATGCATATAGTATTATCAACATCATCAGCTATTTTGATTTGAAGAGGAGTACGAGTTGTTGGTTACGAACTTTGATGAGAAAGACAACAAGGCTGCAACACCCTAAGTCCACCATGCAACGAAACTCTACCTCCCAATAAGTAATCCACCTCAAAGAACAGGAAGGTTTTGGAAGTTTAGATTCAGCAAGCATTCGACCGAAGGCATCTGAAACAGGGCATAACGGCTTTTTACCTTAACAAAAAGAAGCTCACTAGATGAATATAGCTTTGTAAATTTTAACCTTCAAAGCTTGAAACTAATTTGCTAGCAAGTTAACTACATTAGCCAACCTTTCAAAACAAACAAAAGAAATGGGTCCCCTTTGTTTTAGAGAAACCGATTAAAGGTTGCTCATTTGCATTTGAATAAAATATTGTAAGCAACATAAATTGTGTTTCAGAAGACCTTGACCCTGAGACATCTCGATTAGAGAACAAACATTGTCGATCGTACTGATTGATCCGAATTTTCATACAGATGGTAAACAGGGATAAATTTGATAACATCTAAATTTCCCTGTGAATTTGAATCCCCATAGCAAGACCCCAAATTCTTTAACAGGTTACCTCAGCACAGGCCTATCCTTCAAAATAAACCTAAGACTCTAGTACCATCTTATTTACAGATAGCTCTTAAAATCTGTTCATTAATTTACATATAGAATCTACTTAATCTAGTACCACCTAAGACTCTAGTACCATCTAAAGAAGAGATGAGTAAATGAAGCAGAAAAACGAGGAGCTTTCTTTTAGCTTTGATATTTATGCTTCGTCCAGAAAAAAGAAAATAAAAAGTTACTACAAAGCATGACTCACAAAAAACCCAATCAGATTTAATGCGGCTAAAGAAGGATTGCACCCTTTCTCTACCAAATAATACATAAAGGAATTACCCATACTAAAATTATTCCTAAAGTGTCAAAGGAAGGTTCTTCAAAATTAAAGGAGAAACTATGATCACTTGTAACCGAGTTCTTTGATTGATGAATTTAGTATTTATCCGGACCAAAACAATGTCTTGCGTGACAATAACACAGAGATTACAAGGTGTTCTCAGTATTCAAGAATCTAAATGAATCTTATGGGCATTATATGATGATAAATGAAATTTCCAACATTAAATATTTACTTTCCCTTACGTTTCTGTTTCCTCTAGATCCTGAAATCGAAGGTCCCTAGCACCTTTCTTTGTTTGCTTTCCCGTTATCTTATCATGTGACCCCATATTTGCCATTTCGTCAGGATCTTCCTTTTTTTCATAATCTGGTCAATCAGCTCAAATTCTACCAATGCTATAATATCCTGATCTGTGACCAATATTGATACATCCCTGATTCTGGACAGCCCACAACTATAGGGAAATGAGTTCTTCTCAAGTGAACGACGATGATATAAAGCCTTATCCGTAACAATGATGAATGCAAGACAAAGTGAAACCGACTGGAAAATATGGGGGAGGAAAGAATAGAAATCTGGAAACAAGAGAGCAAAAATTAGGAAAGGAAATGTGCAAAGAAAACATAGCCACCACAGAGGTCAACTCGAAAAACAGCCACCACAGGATCAAAACAAAACAAAATTCAGTCATGGTAAATAGTCACGTTTTCTGCGCGAAACAAAACTTGCAGAATCTCCTTAGTGGGCATAATTGCGTCGTTTGGGGTGTATAGCATCTAGTAGCGCCCTTCATAAGGATTTCGTGCTGATATGCCATTCAAGTCACATTTTATGACATGTTGATGAACTTGTTATACTGAGAGCTACAAGAAGCTTCAACTGCGGCAGTCACCCAAATTTGATACTCAGACACCCACTCAAATTTAGGTGTCTGTCCAGTGAGATATAACAATTGGGAATGTCCACAGCCACTATTTCCACCAAATCTTCGAAGGGCAATCTTCCCGCAAAGAGGGAAGAAAGAATCTATCGATAATATTGTTATAAATTCAAAGAAATATATCAGGGCAATATTAATACAAATAATTTTCCGGTCCCAGTGAGAGACACAGTGTAAGTATCCTACAGAGTGATTCCCATTTAAACTTGCAGTAAGATCGTCGTCTAGCATTGTGTTAGCCACAGTGGGTAAACATCCATTTCAGAAATGAACTCAAAACAATAAGATGGAATCCAACTCGCCATAAAACCACTATTAAAGTGCCAACATGAAGATGGCTACAACTAAGGTGAACACTCAAGTGACTGCGAATCGAATGAGTCTTACTGAGTTGCCTCGGTTGAATCGGTTATCCAGACGACCCCGACTGTCTTTACTGCCCTCAGAAGCTTCTGCACCCACGTCAAGAGAAACGACAATGTCTAGAAAATCGACGATCAGAGCAGAAAAAAATATAATGATGAGGGAGAGAGAGAGAGAGAGTAGGGGGCCACCTTGACCGGGGGGAGGGCTTTTCATGAGCTGCGTAAGGCGGCGGAGTTTGGAGGGGACAGCATCCGCAGCACGAGGGTCGGTGGGAATGGTAGGCGGGAGTCGCCACCGTGGGCGGCCTGTTGTTCTTCTCCCGCCCCCTCTGTTGTTCTTCTCGGGCATAACCGCGCGGGGGGGAAGCGGGGTGAGAGTAGCTCGACAAGAACTCGGCCTCATAGGGGCCACAAGGTTGCGATGTCGCCGAAGAGGCCACGACGGAGGAGGGCTGTTCTTCTGCCGCGAGGCGCAAGATATATATATTCTAAAGCCGCCGGTTCATTATTACAAAAGCTACAATCGGCCTATTAACAGCAAGCCCAAAAGCTTCTCTAAAATTCCTACTCCCTCCACGCCTGGAACTTGATTCAAGTTTTGTTAGAGGATTAAATAGAATAATTACCGTAGAAAAAGTGACATTAAAGAACCCCATAGAAGCCGCAAGGGCCTTTGCCTCTACGTCCAAATGTCACACGGTCAATTCCAAGTTAGGTGCATCTACCCAACGAGATAAGTACACAAGAGGGGTCCGCACCAACGTTAATGAGCACACCGCACAAAGGAAGAAACACACAATATGAGAAAACCCATCAACTAGATTAGGCAGATACCTCTCCCTTTGTATAGGAGAGGACAATTGTCTCATGGTCGTCTACAACCAACACCCAATTTTCTTCACTAATAAGACCATTCATGCCAACCTTGGCGACCCTATCCATCTAGCAAAACTATTGTTGCTGACTATGACATCTCCTAATGCCCAACCTGTCTATTTTTAACTGCATCATTTTCCTACTCAGTAGGTTGTCCATTGGCATCGCCCTTTACATCTTGCTCGTTTTCTTTAACACAACCTATAACATCTACAGACTCACTACCCACCATTCTCAAACATTAGAGCCTGCAAGTCAACTCGGTCCACATGTGACTAACCTCCTTTGGTCATGTGAGGTTGGTTGGGAACTGGTTCGGTCAGTGCTCAGCAAGGATTGCACATGAAGCTGCCAACATCTTTTAGTCATGTGAGTTACAAAAAGGTGAGGCCCTTCTTCCCATCTTGGTTTTTTTTCATCATCAATAGAGAGTTGGAGCCAGAGAAAAGTTGGAGTATAAGTGGTACCTAGGGATAGAGGATTGCCCAGTTAGCAGAGCAGCAAGAGGCAAGAAATCTGTTGAGACACTTGTGAGGCGTCTGTGGGCAGAGTCGGACACGCTGTGGGAGCATGTGAAGGCTCAGTCAGTGCAAGTAGAGGAACAAGCCCAAGCATCTATGGCAATAGTCAAGCCTTGTCTGCTCGGGTGGACGGAGAGCTCGGATCTCTGTACGAGCAAGCCGGGGAGATAGTTACATCATTCGTAGCCCATAAGGGCAAAATTTTAGCCTTACGGGAGGAACTCGTTGAGGAGGTGGCCAAGTTACAAGGACAGCTGGAGAAGGCCGTGGCCAACCTTTCGAGTACGATCACAAACCTCCAAAGACATCAGGAGAAAGTTCTGGCCAAAAGACCGCCAAGGGACAAAGTGTCCGAACCCAAGCCTTGCTTTTGGGTGCAACATGCCATACTAGTAGAAAACTTGTTATGGGACGTACAACAGTACTTGAACGGCAATACCTCATTGGAGGAAAAGTCTTTACTAGTAGTCAATACATGGCGAGGCATGTCAGGACATGGTGATGATTGAGCTCTAAGGACTTCTTGAGGCCAACAGTAGCCTGTTGGAACGAGCTAGCCAAGGAAATATGTGATCAGTTTCGTCTAGCCAACTTGGACCAAGTAATGAGAACATCAATGAGGCACCTGAAGCAAACTTGATTATCTGCAAATACTTGGGGAAATTTTTGATGTTGTGCTGGACATACCGAAGATGGATAAGGACGGCAATACTTCACTGAGGGACTGCAGACTTTGGCCCATAATGAACTACATCACTAAGGGGTTCAAGACATCTGTACAATGATAGTTGTGATAGATCCATTAATAGACAATCGGTACCAGTAGCAGGAAGCTGGTGGAGACACTAACCATAGGGACTGAGGCCGCAGAAATGGATGTGGTTGTGGAGGTTTGAACTCAAGAGGTGCAAGAAGAGGTGGACAAGTCGGCAGGGGCAAGGGAGCCCCGGGTGGAGATGCACCCCCGTAGGGCGCCCAGAGAACAGGAGAGTAAGTTGACATGGGCCGGGGACCACAGTGGACAAGGTGGCATGTTTGTGGCGGCACTCACAGGAGTGCTGACGGTTTGGATCAGACAAATAGGTGCATGACAAGGGCTCGTCTCACTCTGGTGCTAGCATAGGAGCAGCATATGTCGGTGATTGAGGGCTAAAATAACTCCAATCCAACAACATTGTCAAGGTCAGGAACTCAGAGGCCAAGGCCCCTGTTAGGTTCACACGTCAGGTGGAAACCCAAGTTGATACATGATAAGACACTATCAACATCTTGGTCATATAGATGGATGACTTCAATGTCAATTTGCACGTTGACTTCATGGTAAAGGCCAAGGTAGGGATTTTCCTCCACTACAATAAACTAATTATTTGTGGAGGCGAGTAGTCGTGCTTTGTAAAGAGGTTGGCACAAGAGAGAGCAAAGCTGCAGGTGATCACAGCTATGTAAGTCAAGGAAGAGTATTGGCAGGCTGTGGGCATCCTTCTCGTTACACTACAGGAAGTCGAAGAAGGTGAACAGGGGAACTTGTTATGTCACCCATAGGTATTGTATTTACATAAAGATTTCAAAGACATTATGTCTGAAAAATTACCTACCAAACTCTCCCATAGATGAGAGATCAAGCACTCCATTGAGCTATTCCTTAAGAGAATAACCTTTGTTTAAAGCCTTGTATAAGATGCCTCTAGTATATTTAGAATAACTAAGAAACAACTAGAGAAATTGGTATAAATGGGACAGATTCGTCCCTCCCACACACCATTTGATGTACATGTGCTCTTCTAAAAAAAGATGGATCACTTTGTTTATGGACTACAATGCCTTGGAAGAGATAATGGTGAAGAATAAATACTTAGTGCCTAATATAGTATATTTATTTGCCTAGTTATGCAAGGCACAGATTGTCTCCAAGGTTGACTTAAAAAATAAATATCATCAAATTTGAATCAAAAAATGAGATGAACAAAAGATTGTGTGTCACATGTTATGGATTTTATAAATTCATTGTGATGTCTTTGGAATAACAAATGTTTCAATCACTTTTTACATCATGATGAATCATACTTTCCAACCAATTTTAAATAAGTTTGTGGTAGTATACTTAAATGACATTTTGGAGTATAGCCACTCCATGTATTAGCACTTGATGCAATTAAGATAGATGTTTAATACACTCAGACACAAGTTATACCTCAACTTAGCAAAGTATGTTTCTATTCTTGATGAGGTTGAATTTCTTGACCACATAATGAGACACAAGTAAGTTCATATGGACCAAAAGAAAGTGATAGTAATTGATGTTGACACAAGAGAGGAAAATCTTAGAATCTATATAGCCTCAAAGTAGAATATATGACTCTTATATCGGAGAGAGAAAAAGATAATAGGCTCTAGTAAGTTGAGAGTTTGATATTACTATCGAACACTCTCCCTCAAGTTAGAGTATTTAAGTCAAATATGTTCAACTTAGTATACATGATGCCGTAAGAGATGTTGGCCAGATTCTTCATAAAGCCACCCACAAATTGATGAGATGATGTCACATGAGGAGTAGAGATAAGTTCAGACATAATCTTATCTCGAATGTAGTGATAGTCGATCTCAATATACTTCGTATACTCATAAAAGGTGAGATTACCAGCAATAAAGATGATGACTTAATTGTTGTAATGTATAAACATTGAAGAAGAAGAAGTAATGTCAAAATCATTGAGAAGTGATCTAAGTTAAATCATTTCTTGCATTATCTCAATTATGACTCAATACTCAGATTCTGTACTAAAACAAGACACCACCCTCTATTTTGAGGACCACCAAATGATTAAGTTATTGTCAACATATGTACAATAACTCCTAGTAGACTTTTAATCATCACCTAAATACTTGACATTAGAGTAGACTACAGTGCGAAGATGAACATGTTGCCAATAGATGAGCCATTTTCTTATGGCTCACTTAATATAGGTGAGGACTTGTAGAGCTCCCTCCTAATGCACTCCTCGAGACCCTATGTGAACTGACTCAAAATACTAACTGTGTACACAATGTTAGGATGAGTGATGGTGAGATATATCAATTTGCCCAACATTACTAATACCAGTTAGCATCCTCGAGTAAGGAAGATAAAGTGTCTTAGAATTGTAAGTGAGCTTTCATGGACGAAGTCTCTAACTTACTTCCAAGGAAGTTAATCTCTTAAAGTATGTTGAGGACATACTTTCGATGGGTGAGGGTGAGCTTCCTATCTTGATATACAAACTTAATCTAAGAAAAAATATCGTAGAGTCCCCAAGTCACAAATGTCGAGGTGTTGCTACAAATAGATTTTAGTAGTAGAGATGTTAGCCTCATTGATGTAGATTTCAAGGATGATAAGACCTCCCTCTGTCTTCTTCGTAAGTATGGCGGGGTATGTAGTGCAGGAGGTGAAGTCAAAGGTGGTGAGTAAATCATTAAACTTGGCAAATCAAATATGTGGACTTTGTTTGAGCCTATAAATGACATGTTGTAAGAGACACACCTTCAATGACTCTTTCTGAGCAACATACCCAAAAAGTTACTCTATAATGACCTACTCTTTGAGATCACTATAGAGAAAGGTGTTAAAAATATCTAACTAGTAAAGAGACCATGACTAATTAACATAGAGAGAGAGGAGCACACAAACGGAGTTGAGGTAGACTATGGGAAAGAACATCTCAATGTAGTCAATCTCATATGTCTATGTGAAGTCTTAAGTGACCAGACGAGCTTTGTGCCGAGCAATGGAGCCAATTAGGTGATATTTGAGGGTAAACACCCACTTCCACATCATAATATTGGCATCGGTCGAGTGTGAAACTAAATATCAAGTATTTTAAGTGACCAACATAGCCACTTCTGAATTCATGTTCGTCTTCCACATAAGTATCTATGCAACCTCAACATACGACCATGGAAGCGACTTAGAGGTCACAAAGAGGGCAAAGGGATGAAAAGAGGGAGAAAGACGGTCATACGAGATGAACTGGGAGATGGGATGATGGGTGCAAGTGCATGTACCTTTGTGAAGGGCAATAAGGTGCATAGTTGGGTACGAGTAATGACCCTAAAGAGAGTGGACAAAAGAAAAGAGAAAAAGGGGGGGGTCTACAAGAACCATCAAGAGAGGGAACCCAAGTGGATGAGATGTAGCGGCACAAGGAAGAGTCAAAAATGAGAAGAAAAAATGAGACTCCTTATGAAAAGTGATATTGGCCAAGGTCACATAGCAATGTGTATTGGAGAAGTAGACTTGATAATCTTTTTACGTGTGAGAGTAGCCAACAAAGACCTATTTAAAAACATGAGAGACAAGTTTAGAAAGAGAAGGAGAGGAATCTTAGACGAAAGTGGTCCATCTAAAGTCCGAGGAGGAAGAGAAAAAAGAAGGGAATCATGGATTAAGTGATGAAGAGAAATGGCCCCCTCATGAGGGGTGGAGAAAAGTTAATTCTAGAGGTAAGTGACAGTCAGAAAGGCATCAGCCTAAAGATAATGAGGGACATTCATCTCAAGAAGAGGTATGCAAATGATGTCAAAGAGCTAACAATCTTTGCACTCAATAACACCATTCTGCTACGAAGTGTGAGGGCAAATAGTTTAGTGGAGGATGTCATGATCGACGTAGAAGGTGCGAAAGAAAGCTTAGACAAATTTAAAGGCATTATCAATATGAAGAATTTTAGACATGGTGGTGTATTGGGTGATAACTTCAGTGATAAAGTGGGTAACCACAATGATGACCATAAGATGATTATAGAAGAGGTAGATCTAGCTCACACAAGTGTAGCCATTAACAAAAATAATGTAATAATGATGATTCGAGATGGACCTCATTCATTGCAATGAAGAAAGTCAAAGGGAACAAAAGAGAAGATGTCATCACAACTAAAGTAAGAAGCACGACGATTTTGTCTAGCTAATAAGACTCGCACAAAAATTTAGAGAGAGAAAGTCATGATAAGGTTTTTTATAATTTAGAGAAATAAGAATGGCCTAAACAGCAATGTCACAAAAGAGAAGAAGTAGTTGTAGAAATAACAAAAAGGGCCCAAAGGCCAAAGAAAGGTTCGTTAGAAATGAGTTCGTAGATATCCCGTCTATTTTTACGGCCCAAACTAATCCTCCATCTAGAATGTAGATCTTGAAAAGTATAGTGAAAGGAAAAGAATGTAATAGTACAAAGGAGGACATAGGTAATAGTACTAATGGAAAGAAAGTTAGTAGAAAAATTAAGAATGTAGAGAACTTGGGTGAAGGGAAGGGAGGGAGAAGTCGAGGTGGCATCATGACCTTTAATTGAATATGTTCAACCATTGGTAATAGTGATAAGACGATGGGTTGAAATATATTGATAGGAGGAGAGAATAGTGGAGATATTGGTCATATGGGTGGAGGCCGCTGAATCGATAATCTATAATGTCAAAGAAAAAGTAAGGAGAATGTGTGTACCTAATGTGGAGGAGGCCAAAAGTGAGACGAGACTAACAAAGGTGGAAACATCAGTACCACTAGTGTGGTGAAGGATATCATACTCCACAAACATCAAGGTCACATAGAAGGTAAGAGTTGGAACATAAGATAGAGTAGAGAAAACCAGAGTTAGAGAAGTTATCATCAGTTGTGTGAAAGTAGACTTACTGAACTACTTCAAACACTTAGTAGTTAGATGGTTCTACTTCTCATAATAGGAAAACAGAAAAAAAGTATTGCGCTAACATCTACAATGAGTATGACCACTGTCATGACAAGAAAGAGGGGTATCATCTTAAGCCTGTAGAACAACAACAACAAGAGCCGAAGGAATAAAGGTGATGCCTAAAGAGGAAGACGAGTGGATGAATGTACCAATGGTGACTAAAAGGGCTGCCAAGAAGATGGAGGCGAAATCAGGCACACAATTCTTAGAGAGAATAGACCCTCGGATTTGAGATGTGATGGACGAATGAAGTCAACTAAGATAAATCCCAACATAAAACTCTTGACAATAGCATTGGAGGGTCAAGAGGTCGATAATAAGGGGCTAATAAAAATCAACCTCCTAGATGAGGGCCTAGAGGTGACTCTACTAGGCCTGAAGGGAGATATCATCTTATTTACAAAAGAGAAGAGACCCAAAGATCTCCACAATATAATTGATATTCGTCGGGTTGACATACATGGTCTTTATAGTGAACCACATGAGACGAGTCAAGGTGATCTATGCTAGTGGCTCGATAGTACTGGGCTCGATACTCTGAAGCATCCACGTGATAATGGCCAAGTTGAGCTAAGACCATGTCACATGCGAGGGGTCCCAAAGGCTGAGTGGGTCCTCTAAGAAGTGATGGAGGAGACTATGAGATCAAAAGAAGAGCTCAAAGTTAGATGTCCACAATGTATAATTGTAGTCGCTCAAGACGTCCATCAATTAAGTAAGTTGCACCATGATGGATTGGCAAGTCAAAAGAACCATTAGAGAAGGGAAAACAACAACCGGAAGAAGTTTAGAGGCTCAAAGGCAGGTAATGGAAGAGGGTGAAATGATGCCATAAGGTTGACACGTCTAAGGCTGAAGGAGTAGGCAATGGGGCCGACTCGAGTGAGGTGAGTGGGTCAGGGCCTGACGAGCCAATCTAGAGGGGCAAGTAGAGCCAGTTGGGGCCATGGTGGGCCGGTTGGGGCTGCACTAGGCTAGTGGGTCTATATTGGGCCGGCTGAGCCACATTAGGCTGGTGGGTCTGCATGGGGCTGGCAGATCTGATTGGGTCAGTCTTGAGTGTGTCAATCTAGAAGAAAACCCTATGTTGAGCTGGCGCTGATGGGCTGGGGGGCCAATAGGTGGACCAGCTGGCTCATCAGGAGGCGAGTAGAACCCTAGCTAGCCAAATAGTGACGGCAAGGGGTGGGGCACGATGGCAAGGGCGTGACAGCGAGGAGGGACCTCAATGGCAGTGGTAGTGTCCTCGACACCTGAGAGCGACGATGCCCACAACGGTGCGACAATGAAGGCACAATGACGAGGAGGGGCCTTGATGGCAACAGTGATAGTGAAGATGCCAGAGAAGAGGAGGAGAGCAATGGCATTGGTGAGGGGCAATGGCAGCAAAGAGGGTGGCTCCGAAAAGAGAAGGAGAGCAACATTGAAGAGCAGCTTGAGGAGGAAAGAGGCTAGCGAGGAGAGGAGCGGTGCACTAGAGAGGATGACGATAACAAAGAATACCTAAGGCTTTGATACCATGTTGACACAAAAGAGGAAAACCCTAGAATTCATAAAATCTCAAAGTAGAATACATGACTCCTAAATAGAAGAAAGGAGATATGAGAGAGAAAATTAAATAATAGGCCTTAGTGGTCAAGAGTCCAATACCACTATCAAACAATCGATAAATGGTTAATTCCTAGGGGAGTATTCGAGTAGAGGTCATTTTTAAGCCTTGTTGACTACTATCAAAAATTCATGAAAGGCTTCTCACAATTGGTTGTGCAAGTGACAAAGTTCCTTAGGAAGGACTGAATATAGATCTAAATAGAGGGGTACCCATAGATGTTTGACAATTTACAAATAGCCATCATCGAGAAAATGGTCCTCTTATTACCTAAATTTGACAAAGTTCTCATGTATGAAGGCCACCTCATTACTTTTGAAAGAAGAAAATTGAATGAGATAGAACAATGATACTCACTCTATGAGAAGGAAATGATAATAATTGTACATTGCAGTGCTTGATAAAGTCTCATTATTACATGATAGGACATGTATATTTGTTATGGTTAAAACTTAAAACATTTTAATAAGAGTATGCAGTTAATATAAATATATTTTCATGAGATTCTAAATCACTTATAACATGTATAAGTATTTTATAAATTGCAATACATGTATAAACTATTAAATTATAAATATTTTATAACATGATTTTTTTATTAAATGAAAAAGGCTTTTGACTTTTTAGGCATCCATTCACCATGAGAGATATTATATTGATCTTCATCTGAGACATAGTGTGCCTTTAAGGGTTTCTAGAGTCGATCCTCATCTATAAAGATCAATTTTTTATGGCCGTCTTCTAATAGAAACTCTTCAAACTTCATAAGACCACACTCTAACAAAAAATCTCCTATCATCCACATATAGATGGGCAATTAGAAGTCATCAATCAGAACCTCGAGACTTACCTCCATTGTTTCACACAGGGATTGTCCAAAATAATGGAGCACTTGAATATCATGGGCCACATATTGGTTCAACACCAACTATAATGTATCAACATGATTTTCCGGGTCATCTACAAGTGCAAGCCTCCTGTCCTCTTATAGGAATGGGACTAGATGCTTGACCAACTCAAACATCATTTGATTCAGCCCAAGCCCATATGAAGACACTAGTTGATAGATAGAGTAGACACATAGAATTCTAGTCAGGAGACTCTGTCTTCCTCCGACTTTATCCCTATCACTAATAATCCCTCAAATGTTGGCCCTATCATAGAACAAACTTCATCCCTGATTTTTGGCCTATTTAAGATCTTAGAATGGATTGGGTCAGTGGCTTACAAGCTAGAGTTACTTGTCTCTATTGGCTTTCACCAAGTCTTCCACATCTCGTAACCCAAGAATGTAGAGAGAAGCCATTTCTGAAACCCATCAGCCCCTCCACCTAGATGAGGAGTTCACATGGACTGTTGAGCCCACGGTCATTTGGGCTGTCCGGCATAATTCATTCAGATGAAAAGTCATGATCAAGTAGAAGAACATTCATGCAACTTAAGCCACATAGGAATCTGCTTGCACCATTCACTACCAATTTTTAGAATTTTTCCTTAAGGACAAGGTAAAACTCCTAGGAGGGAGTATTTTTTAGGCTCTTGCCTCAAATACAGTACCAAGTGGACAGCAATCTCGAAGAGGTGCTGCTCAAAGGATGGCCCAGTAGCAAAAAACAACATGGATGGTCCAACGCCATGATGACAAGGTTCTAAAACAGTCAGGCCATTATAATTGGATAAGGAGTAGGCAAACCATTAAGATCAGATATGACGCAGTTGGGTCTTCCAAAGGAACTCAACCGATTCGGCAGAAGTGTCGATCTAATAATCGGCATAACCAATCTGTAAGATTAGGACCACAAGTAGAAGAGGAGGAGGTCTTTTGTGGAGTCTTGATGCACCTAGAGATCAGCTAACCCAAATTAGCCTTCCCCCTTCCCCTTTTCTTGCATAGTAAATTCTATTAATGACTAATCAAAAGATACAACATTTTTTATTGCTCCTTTCTCGGGGTACATCTCTCACTAAGAGAGGGGTGGGGGGACATTTGTCTCATGGTTGTTGCATTTACTCCTTGATTTGTTTGCCCACAGTGGGCCTCCTTTTCCTTGTATTGTGCCCTTAGCCATGGTTATGTCCTTCGCATACTGCAGGTAGTCGATGACCATTAGCACTTTGTCTAGAGTTGCTCCCTTCATGCCATCATCTTAGTTGGGCTGATCGGCCTTGTTGGTATAGGAATACTTGTATTATTGGGCTTTGTCAATGGGTGATTGGTCCATTGGCTTTAGTGGCATGCTTGGTTGGGCTGCGTTGTTAAAATGGTTGAACTGGAACTAGACCAAGGTCAGCCCTTTCTCTCTTCAGTCTTTATGGGCATGTACTCATAATCCAACTGGTGGCTGTTAGCCCGCTTCCCACCTTCTGGTTTTGAATGTCTCAACCCTGCTCGCATGCTAAAAGAAAACATGAGAAAGTTCTAGGGACCTCACTCGGTCCTTTGACATGTGAGATTACTGCTTGGTTCGCCTATGATACCCAAGTATGTCCTATGGATGGGCCTCTATGATGATGATATTTTCTTTTTTACTTGTTTTCTGGGTCTCCCCTATAATATGGTGATTGGCAGTGAACATATCGTTCATCCTAATGGCACACTGCGCATCATCATGAAGCTCATAAGTTGGGAAATTTTTAGTCCAATTTGATTCACAAGGCTTACTCTCACATGTCTTGTCCTTCTACACGAATAGTACTTCGGCCAGCACCATTTTGTCTCAGCAATAAAGTCCTCGTCGTCTGCTCTTGACGTCAGGAAGGAATGCAGCTTTTTCCTCACATTTCCTTTCTTTCCCCGCCTTTTTTTGGATTTCTCCTTCATCTCTTTCCCTTTTTTTCCCTTTTTCCTCCTGATTGTGAAAGGGGAGGGCAGGGAGAAAGTTACCGATTATTGGAGCTTTCCTTCCCCCTTCTTTTTTTTCCGAATTTCCATCTTGGTACACCAGATTCTTTCTTGCATGGATTTCAATCACTAGCTGTGGATAACTGGTGGGGCAAACGTCCCAGTCACACCATTTGAAGGGACGGCGCCACCACAGGAGGGGAAGGCCAGCAAAAGAATCATGCCACGTCGACATCATCAACCTAGGATCCAAGATCCGAACTTTATTTATTATTGGGATTTTCCTTTCATTTAGTTCCCTTTAACGAATTCCTGACCCTATAAATAGGATTAGCACTGGAATGGACAGTTTTGGCGGTGAATTTTGGAGATTTAGACATCATTTTCAGAGTTTGCCCTAAGGTTTCCTCTCAGTCACCGCCGCCGCCATTGTAACCACTGCCGCCGCCACCACCGCCACTGAGAGGCGACCCTCTGGCGCCCATCCGCCCATCATGAGTGCACGACTCCACCCTCCATCCACCGTGATCCACCATTCAAGAGCGAACAACCAATCTCTCTCGCCGCTGATCGCACCGTCTAACTGGCGCGTTGTCATCTACTGCCGGCGGTAGACGACAACGTTCATGACGACGAGTGTTGACTCGTCGTGAGGCCTTGCTTTCAGGTTGTCGGCAGTCGACGCAGCCATGACTCTCCCCCACTACACATCTGCCCATTGCCCCTCGCACGTGACGATTACCACAGCCACCCGTTTCGCCATGGGAACGTCAAGGTCCTCCATTGGGCGAGCATGTGGAATCACCCCCGGTTTAGGTTTCGGGGCACTGCCCCGAACCCCGCAAGGGGTTGGCTTCCCCCTTGATCCCCCACCAACTAACTACGCAGTTGGATCCAGGATTCCCTCGCCAAAGAGCCTGATTCAAGATTGAAGATTGATCAACAAGATTTCCAGTCTCCATCTTCCACACCATGCCGCCACAACTTGAGGCTTGCCGCACCGCCCCTCGCACTGTATCAGTCTTGAAGGTCTTCTCTTCACTCTTTGGTGACTCATATTATTTCATCTAGTATTTTCTTATGTGTTTTTTCACTACCATCAGATTTAATGTAATCTCGTGGTTAACCATCTAGGATTTTGAATTTGGAGCTTTACTTATCGTGGTGGTTGTAAGACAGTACTCCCGCCCTCAACTGAGGAACGGGGCTGCATCTTTGATGATATCAAATATGTAGTGATAATTACATGTTTTTATGCTTTAATTAATCATTTATATTTTCATGGGAATGGTAATTATCACTTGTTTATGATTAAAATGAAATAAACATGCATTATTTATCTAGTCCTTATTTTGGGTATTTATTGACATGTGAACTAACCCCATTGATTGTTTTGAATCAAGTGGATTATTGACATTTTTCTTAGAATTTTATTGAATTCAGGACCTAGATAAATTGGATATTAAATGTGGAGGAGAGAAGCAGCCAACCCACGTTCAAAGCCCAACAGGAAAGGCCCAAATCTGAAATTGAGGAGAGGCCATATATCGTGGATTTCTCACTTTGAGAAATCAGGACCTCTATTTACACCCTCTTTCTCCCTCATTATAGGGCATCCTTGTTTCTGTCCCAAACTTTATCTTGGCCGCTTTAGTGCAGCAGTTTCTTGGATCCACTCTGTCCTTTGAGTGTCAGGTTGAGTGAAGAAGCGGACCAGATCATCTGATTTGGAGAAAGAAGGAGATTGTTACCTTGGGCCAGAAATGGTGTGACACCAGAGGAACGAAACATTCCGCCTCTCGCTTGCGTCACTGCCCGTACGCCTGCTGCCCGCGCGCTCGTCCACCCGCTCGTTGACTGCTGCCCGCGTGCTCGTTCGCCTGCTCGCTGACGTGTCACTAACCGCGTGAAACTCGCGGACGGGTGACCGCCTGCGTACCGCTCGCAGGAGCGCCCTCACCCGTGCGCCATTTTCTGGCGCATCATCGTCTGCGCGACGCTCGACGATGCGCATCGCCCGCATGAAGCTTGCTGACTGACCGCGCGAAGCTCACGGACGAGTGACCGCCCGTGTACCGCTAGCAGGACCGTCCTCACCCGTGCGCCATTCTCCGGCGCATCAGTGTCTGCGCGACGCTCGCCGACGCGCATCGCCCGCGCAACGGTTGTTGACGCGTCACCACCACGCCACGCTCACAGACGCATGACCGCCCCTGCACCGTTTTCAGGCACATCACCGCTCATGCACTGTCGCCGGCGCATTTCCACCCGCGCACCACTGTTCATTCATCGCATATGCGCTCGCGTGCCCGTCGTTGGTGCCGCTGGAGCGCTGGATAAGGTAAAGTTATTCCGATTTTAGGGTTTCCTTATTGTTACAAATAAAATAAATATAAATATATAAAGATAAATATAAAATCACTAAAGAAATTCTCTGATTAATTCCTAGCTCTCTGTGGTTCGACCCTTACTCAGTTATACTTTGTGAGGTGAAATATTATAAAATTATGTTTCTGAATCTAGAATTTACAACGATTACTACCACATTTTCTAGATAATCAGTCATCATCATTTTCTCCAGATTTAAAGGTTCGAATCGATGGTGTGATTTTGTGGCTTGATTTATCCACCCATACATTACCCTTAGTCAACCCACCCTGTGTCTGTCGTAGCTATCCTACATCAATAACTATTCCCTTGGATTATATAGACATGCTCTGAGACGCCTCTATGGCCCATCTCAGTCTCACAATCTCATTTTCCAATGCACTTGATGAGTCCTTGTGTCCTCAAGATATGGGATATGGCTCACCATGGTCACTTACTGAGGGTATAGGTTACTCTTTCAGGCCTATCTTACACAAATCTTGTTCACCCGCATGATTTAAATGCTAGTCCAATGAAATTGTGATGTATTTGGGTAATATAGTCATACATAATTAACTCAAAGTTCAAGTTTCATACCTATTCACCACGTGTTATTCTCTGGATTGTGTGTCTATTCATCGGACTCTCCTTGTGGCTGGAAGTCCCCACTTTTCTATGTTGAAGAGACTTCTCCCCCTTCTTGGCAGTTCCTGTACATTGAAATAAATTTTCCTTTTCTCGTCCGTCTGCACACCTTCATTGGCTAGAAAATCAGCCACTCGGTTTCTTCTCTATATTGGTGATTAATTTCAGAAATTCAGTGGAACTGGTTCATTATTTTTCACCACCGATGCTTCAATTTCCATTGTTTGCATGTTCTGTTTTGAAGCATATTGGAGAGGGTAAGCGAATCTGTTTCAATGATAATTTGTTTAATTTTTATTTGTTCACATATTCTTAGGCCATCTCATAGTTCATTAAATTTAGCTTGCATATTTGTTGTGGGGTCATAGTGATGGGAGAAGGCTCCCAGCATCTGTCCTTTATGTTTTCAGATCATACCTCCTCCCCCAGATCTTACCCCTTACCCTTTATCTAGAAGAGCCCCGTCAGGACTCTTCATCTTTTGTTTTCCCTATTTCACTCTATTACTCTCTCTCTCTCTCTCTCTCTCTCTCTCTCTCTCTCTCTCTCTCTCTCTCTCTCTCTCTCTCTCTCCCTCTCTCTCCCTCTCTCTCTCTCTCTCTCTCTCTCTCTCTCTCTTACTCTCTCTCTCTCTCTCTCTCTCTCTCTCTCTCTCTCTCTCTCTCTCTCTCTCTCTCTCTCTCTCTCCCTCTCTCTCCCTCTCTCTCTCTCTCTTTCTCCCTCTCTCTCCCTCTCTCTCCCTCACTCTCTCCCTCTCTCTCTCTTTGTGCTGAGACCTCGTCTGGTTGTAACCAAGCTCGAGCTCTAGCCAAATAGGACTGTTCATAGTCAACCTTTAGTAAACTTCCCGTGTTTTGTTACCCTTGACCCGAGGTGCCTATCAGAACAAAAGTTCTCTAAGCAATAAAGAAAGAAAGGACAGGCTGTTGCTTCTACACCCACAAGGCACAGCCACATCGTCATAGCCTTTGGTCATCTAGTCTTCTCCTCGCACGTGTTGATTAGATGGTGATTAACACGGTATCTCAAGGGGAAAATTAATATAATTCAAATCCCCTTATGAACTCCATTAGGATCAGCCTACAGGATGGGTCAAAATTGGTTGTATGAATTGCGATCAGTACTCATCGACTTGGTCCTTTTCGACTCAGCTCATAATGCAATTATTCAGGCGAGCGCACACGCTCTAGTGTGATTTTCTTCCTATATGAGGTTAGACTATTAATGCTGTTAATATTATCTATAGACTATCCATATTGTTAATAGGTCAGATTCGGGCATAAGTAGATTCAGTAGATAGATCCAACTCATTATGTATATATATATATATATATATATCTTTGTATCTTTTTGGATTAACGAAGCTATTTTTCTCTCTCCATGATTTTTCTCTCTCTCGTCTCTTCCATTCGGCAGCTAGGGTTACACATGTTCTTCCTCAGTCAGATCCGAATCCAAACGAAATGATTTATGCATGATCTAACATGGTATCAGAGCCAACTAGGTGTGCTCGTTCCTTACCCTAGCTACACTTGGCAGCTACTCTTATTTACATGCCAATTTTTTCCGCATTATGCCCTAGTTCGTGGGTTGTTCTTGTTGCTTCCTCTATTACTGAAATCAGACATTCAAAGCCCTATTTACACCCCTTTATACTCATAAAGGGGAAAGAATAGTCCTTATACCATCCAGGGTACTAAATCTTTGAGGGTCCCTTTAGGTGACCCAGCCTTACCTCTAGTTGGCCTCGTGACCTTCATTAAAGGACAAGAGCACATCATTCGCTAGCAAAGGGAGTCATTTATATGTTTAAAATTATTGATATGTCATCTGCATCTTCCAGCTCTTCATCAGAGCGCTCTAAAGGACTTCCGTGTGATCTAAGATACTATTCATAGGGCGCAATCGAAATTCGATCTTGTTACGTTAGTGGGTATCCGATTTAGAAGCTACATGCTACATGACAAGACCATCATCTAAGAAGCGTCACCTGTGGAAAACATGAACATTGAGGCCTGGGTTCATGAAAAGAGTAAAAGTCATCTTGTAGTGGACGGCTTCTTCCTCGTCTCTCAGTTTGAAGGTGAAGAAACGGAGGAGGACCGCTGCGAAGATCTTCATCTGACGGTAGGCGAACTCCTTCCCCAGGCATATCCGAGGACCCGCCTGCGTCCAAACAATGCCCAAGTTACTAAATACCGTCCTGAGAAAAGAAGATGAAGACGACGACAATGGGGAAATTTTTCAGAGATTCAGCCTTCTTCTCCTTCTTCTTCTTCTTCTTCTTCTTCTTCTTCCTCACCTGAAAGGCCGTGAATTTGAATGGGCTCTCCGGACAGAAGTTCCCATCCGCATCGAGCCATCTTTCCGGCCGAAAGATCTCCGCGTCCTCGCCCCATAAGTACTTCATTCTCCCCATGGCGTACGGCTGGTATAGAATGAACTCCCCCGCTTTCACGTCGTACCCGTCGGGCAATGAATCGTCTGAGAAGCAGATCTTCCCATCCTGCAAATCGTGATCAGAAGGACCGCCGCCCATCTGTCAGAAAGGATCTCTTGATCACAGATGCCAACGGAGTGCTTAATGGCTCACCAGTGGAACAGCGGGATAAAGACGCAGGGTCTCCGTTATAGCCGCATGTAGGTACGTCATCTTCCCCAGCGATTCCTCGGTTACGTTTGCCGCGAATTCTTCCACGGACACGCCGCCTTTGGCGCCTACTGCCTCCTTAACTTCTTCGAATATCTTCTCTTCCACAGGGGGATGCCTGCAGAGAAGGTAGATGAACCAGGACAGGGTGCCCGCCGTCGTGTCCTTGCCAGCGATGATGAAGTTGAGGATTATGTCTCTGAGATACCGATCAGTCAAGTTCTCGGGATCATTCGGTCTCTCATTAAGAAACCTCGACAGGATGTCTAGCTTATCTACCTGCGGGAGTAGGAACTTAATCAAACACCCCACGAGCATCGGCAATTCGTAGTGATCTCTGCACCGAGTCTCACCTTCTGGTTCGACATTTGGGCGATCTTGGAGCGAATCAGCCTGTGAATGTAGTCGTCGATGATTCTGACGTTGTCCTTCAGCACCGCAGCCGACCCGACATTGATGAATCGCATCACCTTCCACAAGGGATCGATGTACCGCCGGTTGATGAGTTCAGTCGACTCATCCAGCGCTCTCAAGAATTCCCTCGTCTCAGCGTTCGTCCCCTGCAGGCTGTTGAGCTCGGTGCCGAAGGAGACTTCAAATATGGAGTCCATTGTGGACTTCACAAACCAGTCCTGCCGTAGATCGGGAAAAAAATTGAAGACCCGTCGGGATTTCATCAGATTCTACGAGCTATCGTTCGTATGTCTTTTCGGGGCCCTTCAACCACCATATATATATATATAAAGCTCGTCGGGGCGGGGATGATCAAGTTTTCCTTTTCAAAGAGGACAAACCTGAAGATCTATTGCCTGGTTGGAGTCGGCGACCTCGGCAACGGCCTGGGCCAGCCTGACACTGTTCTTCTTGAAGACGGCACCACTGATGTCCTTCAAAGCTCTCGTTGAGAACTCGTGGCTCGCCAACTTCCTCTGGTGGCGCCAATGAGCCCCGTCCACCGCGAAGATCCCGTCCCCGAGCAGATCGTTCATGATCCCATAGTTAAACGTTCCCTGCAGGGAGGAACACCGTTGGTTAGGCCTTTGCTCCGGAGCCAGAAGGCAATGAGTAAACAGCAGAACGCGAGCTCGTCGGAAGGCGGCAGCCGCAGTCTCCCTGACCTTGCCGTAGTTCTGAAAGTTGGTTCGGAGGATGTGCTCGACGACGGCGGGGTCGCAGGTGTAGACATCGCTGTGGAACGGGGAGTTGAGGATCCGGAAGGTCCTGTGGCGCCGGGAGAGGTTAGTAGCGTAGTCGTACTGCTGGCGGAAATGGAGCAGCATCTGGAAATTGGTGCCCACAACACGGTGGTACAGTCGTTTGCGTCCCCTGCTCCTCCGCCACATCGCTACGGCGGAGAGAAGGGGGCCCGCCACGAGGGCCGCTGCGAGCAGAAGTAGCAGGCATGGGTCCAGGAGGAGGTCCATGGTGAGGAGGGGAACGGAGAATGCCATGTGAGACGGGGGCGATGGCTATCCCGACACAGGCTGCCTCCCCTGATATTAGGAAATCGTCTGACACGCATTCGAAGAAAAATCTGCTCACCAATTATGTTCGCTGAAAATTCTTCTCGATCATCCCGTGGACCAGTGTGAGTTTCATTTAAATTAGAAATAAGTTGTCCTCTTTTCTTTGGATCACATTCGCATTTTCTTTGGCCGACTTTTTCCGGCCTTATCGCACACACCCGCAGACACATACAGACGAAACTATGATCCTGAAGTCAAGAAGATTACAGCAGGTTGCTGTCTGGGGCCAACTCGATTTTTGCATTTTGCGGGGGAGGTCCATCTGAATATTAAAAACCACCGGAGTATTATTATTTTATTATTATAACTATTATTTTATTATTTTTATATTATTATTATTATTATTATTATTGAGGCTGAACGGTAGGTATTCGGTCGTGTAGGGCAGCCCATTGGACTTTCCATGCCCATCGGTGGGCTCAGTGGTTGATCATTCTTGTTAATTAAGGCTTGATATTGTGACGACAATCTGATTTGTAGTACTTTTTTTCCGAGCCCATCGTTGGGATCTTGCACTGAAAAGGTGAAGATAGTGGCCCATACAAGTAGCAAGGGGAGGGTGCTACTACAGGAGAGAGATTAGTCCAGTGATCGTTCAAAGAAGAGCAGAAGTGTTGTGGGAACCAGTAATGACATAAAATACGTGGCAACCGGTTGGCTTCAAATAGGTACAAGTCCTTAAACTAGGATACTTAGACTGTACTGTTGTTATCAGTATCGACGCTTAGTCGCGGACTGAATATAGGCGCAGTCATGGCCTCGAAATTAACGTAATTCTTCTTCAAACAAGGATCTGCATCTGACACGTATTACACATTAAGGTAGGAGGGTATTAGGCGTCGACAAACTACGATCTAAAGCTGGCTCGCAGGCGCAACCCCTGCTCCATCTGCAGAGTTATCATGGTCCGGTAGTGAACGCCCTTCCCGTCGTCAGTCATCTCAAACTTGAAGAAGTGGAGGAGGACGGCCGCGATGATCTTCATCTGCCTGTAAGCGAAATCCTTCCCTAGACAAACTCGGGGTCCCGCCTGTTTCGTTTCACAGAAAGGATTAAGCGAGTCTCAACAGAAACAAAGGTTAAAGGGGAGAGGGTTTCACCTGGAAGGCGGTGAACTTGAAGGGGCTCTCCTGGCGGATACTCCCCCCCTCGTCGAGCCACCTCTCTGGGCGGAAATCCTCTGCGTCGTCGCCCCACAGGTCCTTCAGCCTGCCCATGCTGTACGGCAGATAGCTGACCGCATCCCCAGCTTTAACATCGAACCCACTCGGCAGCGTGTCGTCCGAGTAACACATCTTGATGTCCTTCTCATTTTGAAAAACAATCAAAAAGTGTTACTCGCAAAGGTTTGTTTGAGTGTCAGAAAATTTCACCAGTAAACTACAGGGTGTGGAGTTGGACGGCACCGCTGGAACGCTGGGGTAGAGACGCAGCGTCTCGTTCAGCGCGGCGTTGAGGTATGGCAGGTCGTTGACGAACCCAAGGTTCTCTGTGAACTCTGCCATGGACAACCCGGGGGAGCTCCCCTTCGTCGCCTCGTTCACCTCTTCCGCAACCTTCTCCTGCACATTCGGGTGCTTGCACATCATGTACAAGAACCAGGAAAGGGCAGTCGCCGTGGTGTCCCTGCCGGCGACCATAAAGTTGAGAATGATATCCCTCAGGTACTTTCTGCTTATCTTGTCCGGCTCCTTCTCCCTCGCCTCCAGGAATCTCGACAGTATGTCATCCTTCTTCATCTGTCTCCAGAAGGTTAATTGGTCACAGGGGGATTGAAACCTCGAGATGGAAGGAGCTGGAGGATGGGGAGACCCACCGAGTCGACCCTCTCTTGGGACAGTTGTTCAATTTTCTCGTCGATGATCTTGTAAATGAAGTCGTCGATTACTCTGATGTTTCTCCTCAACACGGCCTCCGCTCCGACGTTCAGGGTCCTCTTGATCTTCCAAAAGACGTCGGCGTATCGCCAGGCAACCTGCTCGCTGGAATCATCGAACGCCTTCGTCATTCGGGACCCTTCCTCGTTTGTTCCGCGGAGGGTGTCGAGGTCCACGCTGAACCCGACTTTGAATATGGAATCCATCGTAGATCTCATGAGCAAGTCCTGCGGAACGCCGTGAATGACCATCCTTCATAGAAATCCTGGATTCGTTGTCGTGTCCACGAAACTTACTTGGATGTCCACCGACTGGTTTGAGCTCGCCGCCGCGGAGATGACCTGGGCTAGCCTCGCGGCGTCGCGTTTGAAGGTGTTGCTGCTGTAATCCCTCAGATTCCTCGTAGAGAACTCGAAGCTCGCGAGCTTCCTCTGGTGGCGCCACTGGTCGCCGTCTACGGCGAAGATCCCGTCGCCGAGGAGGTCCTCCAGGATGTTGTGGTTGTACGAGCCCTGCAAGGTCGAAGCAGGTCTCGCGCCGATTCAAACAGCAGCCAGGAGGACTAGAGGAGGGGGCCAATTCTGTCGGGAAACATCTCCAGGAATAAGTAGTCATCTTTCGATGATCCAACCGCTCCCCCAACCTCACCTTGGCGTAGTTGTCGAAGTTGGTGCTGAGAATGTACTCCACGTCGCGGGGGTCGGCCAGATAAACGTAGCTCCGGGCGGGGTGGAGGAACCTGAAACATTTGAACCTGCGGGCTTGGTCCGTGTGGTAGTCGTGGATTCTGCGGAAGTTGATGATCTGGTTCAAGAAGGAGCCCACCAGGGGGGCGTATCTCCTATTCTTCCTTCCTAGTCGTCTCGGTCGGAGGAGCACTCGGAGCAAGAGGAGCCCCAGCAACAGAGCTATGGCGGTGGCTGCGAGGACAGAACTGCTGGACAAGGCAGCCTCCATGGCAGGCAGTTCCCTGTCTCGCAACGGTCCCCAGTGCTGAGTATAGGAAATCCATCCTCATTTCCTCAATTCGGATATTTGTGAAGGGCATAGTTTACGTGTGAAATCCACCAACAGAATCTGTGATAGTAAAATCACGACGACGAGGCGATAACTCCCTATTTATCAAAGACTCGGTTGGTTGCCGGCGGCTCCCAAGATTGGAGAGAGAAAGTGAAAGGACAAACTGGAAAATTTTAATCAAATTCGATAACGGGTACAGATATTTATACAGTTCCGAACAATGTGGACCGGATCCAGTGAATCCGGCTTCACGTACCGGATCAAATTCATCGGGAAGGGAGAAAGTGTGCAAATACAATATAATAAAGAACATATAAAAAATAAAACATAAAATTATGGTATGCATGTAATCTCTCACACTCCGACAAGGTTGTATCTTCTAGAGGCGGGTGAGTTCAAATAAGGTCATCATTTTTTGCATTTGGTCCTTTAAATCCGGATAAATTGTCAAAACATCAGTTAGTTTCCTATGATGAGTAATTTTCGCATACTATTTTTTTCAGTTTTGGTGATTATGTTCCCTAGGTAAAGAGATAGTTTTGATGGTGGGAAACTACGTTTATTGATTGATATATTTCTGAATAATATGTTAGTTATGGGACTCTATATTAGTAATATCCTATGAAGTATTTAAGTTATAGAATGCCAATTATGTTAGTGAATTTATTTACATGCGAAGAGTAAGCAGCTAAAAAATCATTAAATAAAGTCAATATGGCCTGAGATTTATTTGACCAAAGGGAGTGACGAGAGGAATGAGTGGGTGAGAAGGAGAACAAAGACTCCTACCTTGCGCCAAGTGTATACCCAATTGTTGACAATGATCCACAAGATGTAAACATATGAGGTCAGGTGTGCTACATCTATCAAAGAAATTCATTATTTTATGGACTATCATCTAGAATGTGATTAGGGAGACATGGCACTCAATAACTAGACGTACTTGCACCAATTCCCCCAACAAGCATTGGGGTCGCCTTGGGCCCAAAGGCCAAGTCAGCCTACATTATTTATAGGGTATTGCTGATGTGGAGGATAATATCATCACAAAAATGTTGGGGGACAGTGGATGAGACTTATTCCTCTTGTCACAAATGTGGAGGGGAGTACCTATCATAGGGCACCTTCTGAATATTATTTTTAAATTTATTTAATTTTATAGGATGTTAATTTAGATTAGTAGATCTAGATCAATATTTTTCCATTCATCAATGGGGTTGTTTTGGCCTCTATTCTCTTTTCTTTCGCTCAAAGGGTTCATTGATATTGTTGTTAGCACTAGGTTAAATTCATTGATTTATCAAAAGGACTCTCCATCATGTAGCCCAATATTGACATTGGACATAGAAACAAGGAATATTGTTAGGTCAATGCCATCACATGTTTGAATCATAAGTTCGTAAAAACCTAGTTATAGTTTTGAATGTTGTAGAGAATTTACTGATGAAAATGGCTAATGAAATGCTTTTTGCTTACTGTTATGTTCCCTCTTTGCCCAAGTGAGGTAGGTAAATATTTTATTTAAGGAAATAATGGATGCTACCTTGTGAGGGTAGCAGCATTACCTAGTTGGAAAAGATCATAAGGCTACTATTATGCACCAATTATTCCAACCATTATTCAAAACAAGAGAAGAAAAGAGAGAAGGTAAGATAAATAAAAATATTTCTCATCACATGATTGTGGGAAAATCCTTGAAATGAAACATATCTTTCCTTGCAAAACATTTGGAGACTATGGTTTTAAACAATATTGTAGTGGTTGTTGGATCTTAGTGGGACACTAAGGACAACAAGAGGAGGGGACGGATTTGTCTTTTCTTGGGATTTAAAATATGAAAACTATTTAAATTTATATCAACAAGTCCAACTCTTTTTTTGAGACAACTTTTTTCTATATTATCCATAAATTAGATATCACCTTAATAATTAGGGTTACAAGATTTTAAGGATTATTTCTTGATGATTCTCAAAAACCTACTATTTCGTTTCAAGAAATTAATTTGGCAAGTTTTACTTTAATTTGAGGTCCATATATTCTACTCTTTCAACTATAAAACTCATTTTTTCTCTACAAATCATTTCACAAGCCAAAATCACATTCAATCTCATAAAATATAGGAGAGGCACTGGTTCAAACAAAATAAAACTATAATATGTGTCAATAATTATGAAGGGTATCTTGAAGTTTAGCATGTGCTTGAGATTATTAATATTTATTTAATTCGTTTGACTTCTTAAATATTTAATAAATATATTAATTTAATTTTTTGAGAAAGTTGTTGGTTGGACCTTATTTTGATGGTGATCTGAAATTTAGGTTAGCACGAAATATAATGAGCCAAACCTAAAATGATAATGAATTTTTTATGTCTTTAAGAGTTGAGAATATGTAAAGGAAATAGATCCATATGGTAGTAATTATGGAGACAGTACCTAATTGCTATTATTTCTCAACTTATGTTGCATCACATATAAGAAGAATCTATCCAAACCATCACAAAAATCTCCTACAACTCATAAACCATCAAATTTACATGAAAAATTCTTAAACTTGGAATGTTAAAAGGCCTCTTATATGTTGCATCAAATCTCCCACACCTCATTAATTTATTATTATAGGTTGCATCACATATAAGAAGAAATTAATCTTTTGTTTTCTTGCAACAGAAGATTACTTTCTTAGAATCTCTCTCAAGACGTCTCTAATGAGATGCTCAAATGAGAAGAGAGGCCCTCTATTTATGGGCACCTTGGGAGAATCTATTGAGGCCTTATTATCAGGGCTCCATCCACATAGGAAGCGGTTCTCCCTGATTTGGGTTGACCCAGTAAAGCGTGGAGGACGAGGCTTGTCACTGACGGCGGTCTCAAAGAGTTCCCCGGACGCGACCAAAAGGGACCAAGGCGACGAGGACCAGACGGCAGCTTGGAGATTGACCATCTCGAATTCGGCCATTTCCCTTTAAGAATATCCGTGTACAGTGCGCACGGGGTCGATTGCAACCTCGAAAAACGTGCCCTGAAATCTCAACCAAACGGAGAACTAAGTTGTTTATGTTTACTCCATCCACCCGATCCAAGGTGTGTTATAAAGTCATTTCCGTCTGTCCCGATCCAACGTATATTAAATATGGCCGTCTGAAAATGCGGCCAACTAAAACTCTGAGCCACACTTATAATAGATTCTCCAACAATAATGAGGCCAGCAACCCAACCCAGTTTTTCTGAAGTAAACATCCTCTGATTTCGACGTATAGCGGCGTGAATTCAATGATATTCGATGCTCATTCATCCAGGTAATGGTAGCATTCCGATCTGGTTAACGATGGTTGATTGATTTACAAGTCGCTGTGAGTAATTCGTAACAACTTGATTTGAGTTCCAAGAATCCTATCAAGACTGGTCCAACCGGTCGTATCGTGTATCTCCGAATTTATGACGGGGGAGGGAAAGGGGGACGGCATCGCGGGCCCGTGAGATATCGCAGCGGAGGGGGGGAGCTGGCCCTACCCAGCCTCTGGATACTCTTAAAGAGAGGCCCCATCGCTCTCGCAAGGGCTACATATAATATTCTGGGGACTGTTTTTTAAAACCCAACTGCAAGCCACTATGACTGAGAACATGTTCCAGACATGTGGAGCTCTGCTGAGACGAAGGCGCTTGCGAGGACTCGCAGCGCATTCAGAAAACGAACGTGTCATCAGGTCTTGACGGCAATAAAGTTCACGTTGAAGAAGGTTGCTAGCATTTTACTTATCAATGAACTGCGATACGACATCGAATCATAGATGCCCAGAAGTCTAATCAGTCGGTCTTTTATTGTCTGGATTGGGGCCTCACAATTCAGTCTAACGAAGAATCTCTTAGAATCTCTCTCTCTCTCCCTCTCTCTCTCTCTCTCTCTGTCCCGTCGAACGTGCAAGGCTGGATTGGAGGGGAATGTAATGTCAATGCAACTAGCGGCTGGAATATGAATCCTTCCGTGGCTGAGTAGCGAACTATTTTCACAAACTAATTACATGAGTAGATTACTATTTTCACAAAATCTTGGCATGTGCGTGAGATGTCTTCTTATAAAGAAAGGGGACCGCCTGCATCGGGACAGCCAGCCTCCCCGTCTCACACGGCCATCTCCGTTCCCTTCCTCCCCTCCATGGACCTCCTCATCAACCCATCCCTGCTACTGCTCCTTGCGGCGGCCCTCGCGGCGGCCCTCGTAGCGGCCCCCCTTCTCTCCTCCGTAGCAATGCGGCTGCGGAGCGGCGGACGTCGGCAGCGGTACCACCCCGTGGCGGGCAACAACTTGCAGATGCTGCTCCATTTCCGCCATCTCTACGACTTTACTACTGACCTCTCCCGGCGCCACAGGACCTTCCGGATCCTCACCTCCCCATTCCACAGCGATGTCTACACCTGCGACCCCGCCGTCGTCGAGCACATCCTCCGTACCAATTTTCAGAACTACGGCAAGGTCAGGAAGACTGCGGCTGCCGCCTTCCGACGCGCTCGCTTTCTGCTGTTTACTCATTGCCTTCTGGCTCCGGAGCAAAGGCCTAACCAACGTGTTCCTCCCTGCAGGGAAAGTTTAACTATGAGATCCTAAACGACTTGCTCGGGGACGGGATCTTCGCGGTGGACGGAGCTCAGTGGCGCCACCAGAGGAAGTTGGCGAGCCGCGAGTTCTCAACGAGAGCCTTGAAGGACATCAGTGATGATGTCTTGAAGAAGAACAGCGTCAGGCTGGCCCAGGCCGTTGCCGAGGTCGCCGACTCCGACCAGACAATAGATCTTCAGGTTTGTCCTCTTTAAAAAGGAAAACTTGATCATTCCCCCCCCTCCCCCGACGAGCGTATATATATGGTGGTTGAAGGCCCCCAAAAAGACATACGAATGATAGCTCGTAGAATCTGATGAATCCCGACGGGTCTTCAATTTTTTTCCCGATCTACGGCAGGACTGGTTTGTGAAGTCCACAATGGACTCCATATTTGAAGTCTCCTTCGGCACCGAGCTCAACAGCCTGCAGGGGACGAACGCTGAGACTAGGGAATTCTTGAGAGCACTGGATGAGTCAAATGAACTCATCAACCGGCGGTACGTCGATCCCTTGTGGAAGGTGATGCGATTCTTCAATGTCGGGTCGGCTGCGGTGCTGAAGGACAACGTCAGAATCATCGACGACCACGTTTACAAGCTGATTCGCTCCGAGATCGCCCAAATGTCGAACCAGAAGGTGAGACTCGGTGCAGAGATCACTACGAATTGCCGATGTCCGTGGGGTGTTTGATTAATTTCCTGCTCCCGCAGGTAGATAAGCCAAGCATCCTGTCGAGGTTTCTTCATGAGAGACCGAATGATCCCGAGAACTTGACTGATCGGTATCTCAGAGACATAATCCTCAACTTCATCCTCGCTGGTAAGGACACGACAGCGGGCACCCTGTCCTGGTTCATCTACCTTCTCTGCAGGCATCCCCGTGTGGAAGAGAAGATATTCGAAGAAGCTAAGGAGGCAGTAGGCGCTAAAGGCGGCGAGTCTGTGGAAGAATTCGCGACAAACGTAACCGAGGAATCGCTGGGGAAGATGACGTATCTACATGCGGCCATAACCGAGACCCTGCGTATTTATCCCGCTCTTGCGATGGTGAGCCATTAAGCACTCCGTTGGCATCTTTGATCAAGCGATCGCTTCTGACAGATGGGCGGTGGTCCTCCTGATCACGATTTGCAGGATGGGAAGATCTGCTTCTCAGACGATACATTACCTGACGGGTACGACGTGAAAGCGGGGGAGTTCGTTCTGTACCAGCCGTACGCCATGGGGAGAATGAAGTACTTATGGGGCGAGGACGCGGAGATCTTTCGGCCGGAAAGATGGCTCGATGCGGATGGGAACTTCTGTCCGGAGAGCCCGTTCAAATTCACGGCCTTTCAGGTGAGGAAGGACGAAAAGAAGGCTGAATCTCCGAAAAACTTCCCCATCTTCATCTTCTTCCCTCTGGACGGTATTTGGTAACTTGGGCATTGTTTGGATGCAGGCGGGTCCTCGGATATGCCTGGGGAAGGAGTTCGCCTACCGTCAGATGAAGATCTTCGCAGCGGTCCTCCTCCGCTTC